CGAAAAAAATACAAACTTACCCCCATGGGGCAAAAGGACTAAAATTAAACAAAAAAAAAATTTCTAACTGCCCGGCTCGCAAGCATTATAAAATCCAAATGACATCTATTGAAATATATGCTATCTAACAAACCCTCTGCTTTAATACGAACGATTTGTAAAGACATATTTCTATTGTTTTCTGAATGCTTAAACCCGTTATTTTGAGCGGTTGATTTTTTCTTCTTGTTAATCTTTAACGATTTTTCTTGAGTTCACAACGTTTATTCCAGATAATTTTAGTTTCATCATATATATAATTCAGAAATGATACACTTAACGTGATTCTATCATCGAGATTCATTTTAATCTCGTTTTATTTTTAAAAAATCTGACAATTTCAACGGAAATATGCCCTTGATCATATCGATAAACGTAATATTGCTTTCGTCAAAAATCAACCTTCCAAATTTTTCATTGCTATATAAAAGAAATATATCTGATTTGTTAATCTTATACTTTTCAAATTTCGAAATTTCTTCAAAAAGATATAAGAACGATTTTTCAATAATTTGTTTAACGTTATTCTTTTCCGAATTGTTTTCCGAATTGCACAACCAAACATGGTTAAATTTCCTCCTTTTGTATAAATTAAAAGGAAAAAGAGAAATCAGTTAACTTTTACGTTTCACGTGTTATTAGTATGCATATTGAGCGATATATCTCACGAATTGCGATCAGCTGCTAATTTGACTATATCGTAAATTTCACATATGTTGCATGCAATTCGTTTATCTTTGAACTTGCATACTACACTTATTTTTCAATAAATATGAGTACATAATTAAATTAATTAAAATTTAGATAATTTATGCAGTAAATTACTTGAAGGAAGATTTCAATCGATAAAAAATGAAATACCAAAAATTTCGTTAAATTTTGGGTTTAACCCCTGGTAACATGATCAACTGGCATAACCAAAATATATAGAGCCAGCCAAAAAAATTTTACTATTAGCAGTACGCATTTTTTCAGGGCCGGAATTATGATAATTTCGGGTAATAGCTTTCCGCCAGGCATTATCTATAAATGGAAAGAGATTTTCATGATTTATGATTTTTTTTCGGCTGATTGTATGCAAACTATATTTCGGGGGGTTCTGCATAACCTAATTTTCTCGTACATCAAAAAATGGTGAGAATTGATCAGACCACGCCACATAGATTAAGCAACTATTCATAATGAAGTTATGTTTAGGAAATAATAATCACTATAAATATTTATACGATCACGTTTAAGTTTTCAATTTTTTAATTTTTTACCATTAATATATGAAGATCATCAAGAGTATTCGTAACAATCAATGTTAATCGTATACTTTTATACATATAAACAGGAACTGGGCGCACAGTACTACAATACTCTGAGAAAAAAAAATCTTATCAGAAATAGACTCTGTGAAATACACATGAAAATACATGAATACAATTTTAAATTGGGAGTATTGGCAAATCTTACCGTGGATGATTTTTATCATACAATAAACGTTAAAAATAAATATGGTTGAATTTACTTGTAAATTTGAACTTTTTTTTTTCGCATCTAACCTAAATAATTACTTTTTGACATACTTATATATAATTTATATTATTAGCTCGGGATAACGACTTTTTTTTTTTATAATTTTTGGATGAGAATTGCGGCACGACTATTTTCGGTAAATGTGTGTTAATTTATTGTCTCGATGATTTGTTACCAATTTTTTTTTTTCATCCGAATTTGTTATTGCTAAAGTACCAAAATCCAAAATTCGAAAGGTACGAGAAATTGCCTGTTGTAATGAATCCAATCAAATTAATCGGTCACAAAAAAATGTTGGACAAAATCATCGAACTTGTTTTTCGATCAAAAATTCACAAAATTTTCACGATCCTCGATTTAAATTTAATACCATATTAACGCTCGTGTTTTCATTTGGACTCGAATGTGAAATATTATGATTTTTATATGAAAACTACAGAAAACATAAAATTTCACAAAATTCATAAATTATTTATCGTTTACTAACTTAAGAGATGCATTATATCCTTCATTCTTAATTTTATAAAATAAATAATGATTAATTTTTTGTTGAAAGAATCAAATTAAATTGGAAAAAAATGGAATAAAATAGTGCCGAATACCCTGAATTTTTTAATTTAAAAAAATGTTTTTTCTATGCCTATCAAAAATTTCAGATAAGATTTTTTCCCATCGGACGGTCAAGTACCAAATTTATATATTCATTTATTCGATTATGCATAATATTTGAAACTAATATCAAACTAGTCAAATTAAAAAAAAATTTTCACCTTTTATCACGAAACAACAACTAAAATTCATAATTATTAAAATCATCTGTCGATTAATTATGGTTAAGAACTTTTTTTTATCAATCAGAAAGATAAAAAAATTATAATACCAAATTAGTCTCAAATATATCTAATTTAAACTCTGAATGGGAAAATTAAATTTATATTAAAATTTACTATCGCGTAAACTTCTAAAAATTCATAAATTGGTTTTTGGATTAAAAGAAAGATTTTTAGATAATCGTCATTAATTATTTTATATTTTAAATTTTTCCGAAATCAAATAAAAATTGATCATGCTATAACACTTTTCCTTGTTGAACCGATTTGCATGATAAAATAAAAAAATCGCTAGTTTGATAATTCAAATTTGGATACTTGGCGTGCAGATATCAATTAAAATTTTTAGATTTACCCCAAAATGAAATCTTTTAGTATAAGTATTATGATGTGATATGCATTACATTATTACCTTACATTAAATAATAATTATATTTCGTACTCGTAAGAATTGTTATAAAATGATGCCTCAAATTTTAAAAAAATTAACCATGAAATTTTAAAATTAAAAATCGAATAATCGCTCAAATTTAAAATAAACAAAATTTAACGATTTTCTTTAATCGTTAAATCTTAACTCGCGTTTCGTTCATGATTATCTCGTTTTTTCGTAATTTTTTATCTATGGAATAATCAAAGTAATTGGGTTACAGACATTTTTGTAAATTCAATCGTAACAATGATGTTCTGTTCTCAATTTTCTTCGTGAGGCGGTGGCAAAATATCGGCCACCTCCAATTAATATTATAAGATTTTAAGCGGCAACCTTTTTTTTCAAAAAAAAAAATAATTATATGATTTTTGCTTATAAACACGGATTTTTTTTTTTTATTACTTATTGACTATTGTCGTTTTTGATTATATTTTTAATATCGTTCGCGGTAATAGTATTTTATATAGAATAGTTCCTTTTTTTTTTTTTATTGAAATTTTTCTCTCAATCATAATTATTACATGAAATGAAAACTCAAAAAATTATTATTTTCGTTACATCTTTCAAACTATTTTATTAGTTTCTTCGAATTTTATCTTTTATCGTCATATAATCGAATTTTTCTACTATTTTTTTACATAGATGAGGTTTTTTTTTACTTTTATATCAATAAATCGAATATCCACTTTTATTAAATTTTTTTTTGTGTAAATCACGTGTAATATTTTACAGTTGACAATTATAAATTTTGCTAAAGTTAAAAATCGAACTATAAATAATTTTTTTTTTTCACCAGAAAAAAAAAACCATACAAATTGTTCGATTAATCGAATATGTAAAAAAATGGCATATGATCATAAATGCAACTGACCCAGAATTGAACAGGGCTAATTCTTGATTTTTTTTAAAAAAAATCAGGAATTAAGAAAAATTGGGCATACCAACATGACGATCGCTTATTATTTGAAACGGTAAAATATAAAAATTGGGCATAACACCATGTCGATCGCTTATTTGGAACCCGGTAGATATTTACCAATAATAAATTAATATGAAATTTATTTTAGTAATTTTTCTATAATTTCTATAATTAAAGTTTATTATGATATATTTTTTTTTTTTTATTTAAAAATTTTTTTTTTTTTTTT